TGGAAGTCTTCATCATCCAGTCGACCATCAGAAGAAAGAGGGAGGGAGGGAGAGAGTAGATAGCTTTGTCTGTCTCCTGTCCTTACTTGGAATGCATCTGTCAGCTGTCTTCCATGTACATTGTTCGGACATTCCGTGTACCTGTAAAAATTGTTGCTCTGGTTATTAGAAGTGGCATCGGCATCGTGGCTTCCGAAGGAACTTGAGTTTCACCATGAAGCGTCATAATTCTTCTAAATAAAGACCTTCTAACTCCCAGGGCAGAGGTAAAATGGTTTGAATTATTTTTTCTGGTAAGTGTTTTTTTTAGCGAGTTAGCTTTCTGCGGAATGGGGACGCTAACCCCATGCACAAGTCTCCTCCTTTGCCCGGGCTTGGAACCGGCAGTAACTCTAGAAGAGCTACAGGCGGAGTTAAGTTATTAAGATGGTAAAAATTATTTCAAATGAATACAGTGTAATATGTCTTATCATTTAAATACCTACTTGTTATATCTGGTCGTCGCTGATTGTTGTGTCAGAAACGCTTAACACTTATACTCGAAACGAGGGACCTTGGCAGTTCCCACCATGCGAAAGTAAGAACACAAGACTGGTATAAGTAATGTTTTATTAACTCCAAAACACTATGACGACGACAACCCTAGTCGAAATACACTCATGTATATATTAATTGCACACACACAGTGATTAACAATTAGGATGAAATAACATGTATAAAAAGTACTTAGAGTTATGACAAATCAAATACTGAGCATAGTACATATCAATGGAACACAAGAATATCGTATATTATACAGAATAAAATATCATACAAGAAAACAAATCAAATACTACACTGAATAGTCATCACATTGAATCAAGACGAAAGTAATCTTGAACAAAACTCACAATGAGTAAACCAATCGAATTTTGACTTCTTCTATCATATCACAGTGCAAGATGAAAAATTCTAGAAGCCGTGACCAGTGGAGCTAATCTGTGTTGGGTAGAAACAGGTGTCTACGTCAGTACAATGGAAGATGGTCGCGCAACTTCGTGGATTGGTTGAAGTTAGACATTAACACCATAGGATGCCGGCTCAGTGGTCCAGTAGATTAGGCGTTCGCGCGCGAGACTGAGGGCCCTGGGTTCGAATCCTGCGAGCGGGATCGTGGATGCGCACTGCTGAGGAGTCCCACAATAGGACGAGACGGCCGTCCAGTGCCTCCAGGTTTTCAATGGAGGTCTAACATCAATCGGTTCATGATCTCAATAAAAAACTTAACAATCCCCACAACCTCTAAACTGATAACATTATAATAGTAGCGAAAGCTCTTAGAGCCAAAGATTTTATATTAATAGTGTGAGAACGGAATAGAATTAAATGCAGTTGTTTGAACAAACAACAGAAGTATGTTGGATAATCAGGCTTACTCTTTCTTCAGAGTCCAGATAGTTTTAGCCTTATATGAAACACTCAAGTTATTTGCCTTACCTTATATTTCGAAAAGCCCTTCTGAATTTTTTGACTTTGAATATCAATTTAACGGTTATTAAATATAGGACATATTGTTAGTATCGATTTGATTAGTAGATTTCCCAGTTTTTGTGTGCTTTAAGTGATCTTTGGCAGGAGTTGAGATTCCACAAGAAGATTCTACAATCTATAAAGCATCATAGTTGGCGAAACCTATTTAGTAGACGTAATTATTTGTGAAGAGTAATGTAGTTTATATAAGTACAGTTTTAATGTACGTTAGGTATTAAGGTTGAGATACATGTTTGAATTAGGATAAAAAATCATAAGAAGTAGAACAAAACATAAAATATATGTTTAAACATTAACTTGTGATGGTTCAGATTATCCTGTTGTAGAGATTTGGCTGACTTTTGATCAGTCTTACTTGACATGCGAGCATTCAAGATATTAAAACTATTTCACAAATTTTATGTAGAATAGGAACAATTGGATCCAGGACTCAAGCTTCGTCGTACCTAAGACTCGTCAGTTTAAGATACATCTGTCCCAATATTGATGTTAAGATAATTGAAATATTTATCATTAATGATGTCGTTGTTTTTCATAAGTACTGATAAGAATACAATCTTTCTTGGTTTTCTTATTGAATCCTTCAACAAGATGGTATGCTGAGGAGATATGTGGTAATCTTTGGATTGAAGTACTGATAAATTGAGTAAGCAGAAATTAAATGATACACTATGTTTTACATATGTTGTACACTACGAAGTGATTGATATAATGAATTACTACCAGAAAAAATGTTATCACCTACTTAAAATGCAGAAGTGAGTATTGCAGAACTATTTCACAAATCATAAATAAAATTTATTTTAGTCTTTTTATTCCGAATAACAGTGGAGGATTCTCAGTGACACTATACAACGCAGTAACAACTTCACAAGTAATTTCAGTTTAACGTCTTACAATTCAAAGCATGTGCGTAGAACGTTATCCAGTAGCGTTCATCTTCATTTACAGAATTTGGAATCGCGTCTTGTTTTTCTTAACAACATCCCATAACAGCAATGTTCCGACCACTGTGATAGTTTTAGTCAAGTTTGATAGCAATTATACTTGACGTAGACTATGAATATCGTTTTTGATAACTTTCACTGTAACCACCTGTAACTGAAGGCTTTCGTCTGACGCAATGAAAAATGTAATTTTCGAATGTAACATTTTAAGCTTTGAAACTAAGCTAACTAGAAGAATGTAATGTCGTAAGAAAAAGTCATTTCAGCTATTTTCATATAGGTGGATTCTGATATGTGAAACAGAAAAACAGAGTTTTGTTTAACACAAGTAAAAAGATAAAATTGATGACAGAAACAGATATTTTTCACCCGCCAAACACTCGACAAGCCATTTATCTATTTGCAAATGTCACTTATAACCGTAATGAAGGAAGTACAAAAATAGATCTCACAGAAGCTTGCTACCAAATATACGCTACGCCTTGTACTAAACTAGATGTGCATTAAAGAATACAATGCTGAAAAAATATCACATAAAAAGTAACTGAATATTTAACTGAAAAATTTTCCTACCACACTAAAACAAAGGTGTCACAAAACAAAGATTACGCCGAGTTAAAACGTGATCTCTTGCTTTTGTTACATTCTGACAGCTACAACTTTTGACTGCACCGTTTCTTCGTTGCTCTAATTCTTAACCAGTTAATTTTAGTGTTAATTCGTATTCACTATGTATTATTTACTCAAATTCTTACACCTGTTACACTTTTTGGAGGATCATAGAACGCTTATCAGTATTTTTCATCCAACTTTATCCTGAGAAATCCTTTCCAGTTGTTTCCAGTTACTATTCATCCTTTTGATTTTTGCTTCCGATTCCCACCGCAGTGTGTTCTATAACCTTTCTCTTCGTCGTTTCCATTCAGGCTTCCAAGTAAGCGCTTGCTTCGTGATGTAGTTTGCTGATTTTTCCAATATGTGTTTTATCTACTTCGATCGTCTTTTCCTAATTTCCTTTTCAGGTGGAAGCTGATTTGTTCTCTCCTACAATAGACTGTTGTTGATTGTATCATTTGTTGCTTGATTATTAACCAAAACTTGATGATGCGTTTATTTCAAGCAAACGGATAAACGTTGATTTTCAAAACTTTTTTCAAGTAATTCCATAGTTTTGAATCGTATTGTTACTTCACATTGATTGATGCATTTATCTATTATTAGTTGACATTTTCTGTTTGATTTCATGTAACTGATAATAAAACAGGATTTTTTTTCATGCAATCAATATACAATTGATGTTGCAGTTATTTTGTATCGTAAAAAGATAATTTCAATATTTGTCCATTTTTTTCATTTGCCTACAAACAAAACTTTGAAGTTACTAAAATCTTCACAAAACCCACTTCTGATAACAATCATCATGTGCTCACTGATGACTAGCTTCAAGAGGTATTTCCTGGAGTTCAAGTGAGAAGCTGTTACCAGTGGAGTTCAACCAGGTTTGTTGTGAAATAGTAACTCACTGGAGACAATGGTGGACGTTGGCACGAATACGTGGATTGGTTGAAGTTAAACAATAACACTGTTGGATACAGGTTTGGTGGTCTAGAGGTTAAGCCCTTGCGCGTGAGACCGAAGATCCTTGGTTCGAATCCCGTGGGCGCGGTCATGGATGTGTACTGCTGAGAAGTCTTGTACTAGGACGAAACGGCCGCCCATTGCTTCTAGGTTTCCCATGGTGAATGAATTCAACTATAAAACTATTTTAAATGAAAGAAAATTTATGTATTTCTCTAAAGTCTAAGTTATTTTTATTAAAGAATAATCAATTTGTTCACTGTCCAATATGAATAAGCTATTTAAATATATGAACAATTAGTTCAGCGAAGAGTATGTTCTTTGGGTAAATTCCTCTTTAATGTTATACAATTGTAAATACATAGTAATTTTAAAAATGGCATCCATTCTGTATGTTATTAGTATTGGTAATTCACTGAACCAAGTAAAGGGGAGGTAAGCTAAATAAAAGTACAGAAATGTTATTCATTTTTAGAAATTGTGGATGTAGTTTGCATAGAATAATGGCTATAGTGGCGCAATATGCACAGGACGTACATATGTTAACTCTATGACTCAATCAATTTTCAATTTCAATTTTATGACATATTTATTTGGTATATTAAGAACAAGCGGAACGACTGCCGTGATCAGCTATAAGATTTTTCGCTTCACGTATTGTGGCCAAGACAGCAGATTCAATTAAATCTGCATACGTATTTAAATCCATATAAAAAATAATCATAATGGCTGGAGAGAATAGAGCAGTTGGATTGGAACGATCTTGACCAGCAATATCAGGATCAGTAGCAATAATTGATTCAAGTATAGCTTCAGTTCCACTAGTTTTCTCGCTTGTTGTAACACCTCGACCCTCATTTAAACAAACGGCCTGATCATTCAATGTATTACCATACCAATTCGGCATAACTAATGCACCGGAACGAGTTGGATCTTGAACAGGATTTAAGCAGACAGTATCCAAAGCATATCACAAAATTCTTCACGACATACTTGAAGTAATAAACCATCTGATATTCTCATAATAATAGCTTTATGCACAGCTATTACACTACGTCGATCATTATCTTTTACATATTGAAATGCAAATCTAGCAACACATCGACGTGGTTCTTCAGAGAACCATTTAATATATTGTACAACACTATCAGCAATCACATATTCCATACCAGAATATTCAACTTCAATATTCTCTTTGACTAACCAAACAAACATTGTTATAAGGAGTTTCATACCCTTCAATAGATTTATATGGTCGAACATTTGTATAAAGTATGGACTTAATTGGTACAAGGGGAAACCAAATACATATGTGCCACACAATAACAATGAATTCGGTAGCAGTTGTCATTGATGTGTGAGAGGAATGTGATACTGCCCAGTTGTCCAAACTGAAGCAGGGTCCATACATCAAGCCTTCGACCTGAAGGTCTACTACACAAGGCAGTGGAGTAATTTTGGGCCTTTGACCAACTTACATACTTACGCCTGTTACTCATCGTGAAGGAGCATAGGCCACTCACCAGCATTCTCCCTCCAACCCTCTCCTGAGCAATCCTTTCGCGCTCTTTGCAGTTGTTATTCATCTTTTTCACATCTGATTCTATTTCCCGACGTTATGTGTTCTTCGGCCTTCCACTTTTCCGCTTTCCCTCAGGATTCCACATTAGGACTTGCCTCATGATGCAGTTTGATGATTTGCGTAATGTATGTCCTATCCACACCCATCGTCTTTTCCTAATATCCTCTTCAGCTGCAAACTGGTTTGTTCTCTCCTACAGAAGGCTGTTGCTGATGGTATCCGACCAATGAATGTTGAGCATCTTGCGTAAACAACTATTTATAAATACTTGCACCTTCTTGATGGTGGTTGTAGTAGTTCTTCAAGTTTCAGCTCCGTGCATTAAAACTGTCTCGACGTTCTTATTGAAGATTGTGACTTTGATATTGGTTGAAAGTTGTTTTGAGTTGCATATATTCTCCAATTGTACGAATGCGACCCTTGCTTTGCCAATCCTCGCATTTACATCTGCATCTGAACCTCCTTGTTCATCGATGATGCTTCCCAGGTATGTGAAGGATTCGACATCTTACAGAGTTTCGCCATCAAGAGTGATTGGATTGCTGTTCTTCGCTTCGAACTGGAGGACCTTGGTTTTCCCCTTGTGTATGTTGAGGCCTACTGATGCAGAGACAGATTGCTGCTACACTGGTTGTCTTTATCTGCATCCGTTTGTGTGTATGGGATAGGAGGACTAGGTCATCTGCGAAGTCCAAATCGTCTTGTTGATCCTGAGCTGTTTATTGTGTTCTGCGTTTTCCCTCAGATGTGGAAGTCTTCATCATCCAGTCGACCATCAGAAGAAAGAGGGAGGGAGGGAGAGAGTAGATAGCTTTGTCTGTCTCCTGTCCTTACTTGGAATGCATCTGTCAGCTGTCCTCTATGCACGACCTTGCACTGTAGTCCGTCGTATGAGTTCCTGATAATATTGACGATCTTCTCAGGAACTTCGTAGTGTCCTAGATGTTTCCATAACGTCCTCCTGTCTACACTGTCAAATGCCTTTTCATAATGAAGTTGATGTACAGTGACGAGTTTCACTCAACTAATTGTTCGACGATGATCCATAGTGTTGCAATTTGGTCTGTGCACGACCGATTCCTACGGAATCCAGCTTTTTGATCTCGAAGTTGGGCGTCTACTGCGTCTTTCATGCGGTTCGGCAACCCTCTGTTAAAGACTTTCTTTGGTACTGACAGGAGTGTAATGCCTCTGTAGTTTTCACATTTGCCCAGATCTCCTTTCTTTGGAATCTTGATGAGGTGTCCTTCTTTCTAGTCCATAGGCACTTGTTCCTCCTCCCAAATCTTCTTGAATAGAATGTAGTTACTTCGATGTCTGACTTCAGCTCTTAAGCTGGTACGTTGTCGGGTCCTGCTGCTTTCCCCCTCTTGATTTGTCTGATGGCCATTCTGATTTCTTCCGTCGTTGGTGGATTGACATCTATAGGAAGATCTGTGTGTGCTGCTTCGATGTCCGGTGGATTCATTGGAGCCGGCCTATTCAGGAGTTCCTCAAAGTATTCTACCCATCTGTTCCGTTGTCGTTGAATTTCGGTGATTGGCTTGCCTTCTTTGTCTTTGAACGGTCTCTCTGGTTTACTATATCTCCCTGCTAGTTTCTACGTTGTATAATACAGCTGTTTCATATTTCCTTGTCCTGCAGCTTTTTCCGGCGTCGTTGCTAGTTTTTCCACGTATTTCTTCTTGTCGGCTCCAATGCTTTTCTCCACTTGCTTGTTTGCTTCTATGTATTCAGCTTGTGCTTGGACTTTCTCTGTTCGTGTTCGACTGTTGTTAATTGCTGTCTCCTTGTTCTTCCTTTCTTTGATCTTGTCCAGTATTTCTGTAGAGATCCATGGTATTTCTTTAGACCGAGAACCTCTTGACACGTTGAAGTTAATGCTTCTTTGATGCCTTCCCAGTTGTCCTCCATAGTAGTTTCTTCTTCTTTCAGTAGATCTTGTAAGGCTTGGAATCTGTTGTTGAGAGCTATTTTGAATTCATTGAGTCTGTCAGTATCTCGAAGGAAGACTATATTGAACCTTTGTAGTGCTGTTTGTCCACTTGTCCAGTTCTTTTTTAGCTTCAGTTTTAAATTGGCCACAACTAGGTGGTGATCTGAAGCTATGTCAGCTCCTCTTCTGGTCCTCACGTCTTCCATTGTCCTTCGGAATTTTTTGTTGATGCAAATATGATCTATCTGGTTCTCTGTGATGTGGTCCGGTGAGATCCATATAGCTTTGTGTACACGTTTGTGTGGAAATATTGTGCCACCTATGACCAATTTGTTGAATGCATATAGATTTGCAAATCTTTCTTCATTTTCATTTCTCTGTCCTAGTCCATGTCGTCCCATAATATCTTCATATTCGGTGTCGTCTATCCCGACTGTGGCGTTTAGATCTCTCATCAGAATGGTGAGGTCTTTTCTAGGGCACTCGTCTATGATTAATTTCAGCCTCTCATAGAATTGATCTTTATTGTCGTCGTTGCTATCATTGGTGGGTGCATAACATTGGATAATATTCATTGTGATCCCCTCCTTCTTTGTCTTGAATGATGCTTTGATGATTCTGGATCCGTGAGATTCCCATCCTACAAGTGCATTTCGTGCTACTTTGGACAGCATTAGGGCAACTCCCTGAGTGTGTGGAGCATTTTCCTCTTCGTGACCGGAGTATAACAGCATCTCTACCGTATCTAGCCTTTGTTGTTCAGCTTGGTTCCAATAGGTTTCGCCGATTTCCAGTACTGCCAAATTGTATCTCCTCATTCCAGTTGCTATTTGACTGGTCTTCCCGGTCTCCCACATTGTTTGAACGTTCCATGTACCTATAAAAATTGTTGCTCTGGTTATTAGAATGGGTATCGGCCTCATGGCTTCCAAAGGATGCACGTATGCCAACAAGAAACGGATCAATCGCAGTCCTAAATAACAATATGAAGATACAAGGAAAACAACACCAAATGAATTTAATCCATTACTTTTTATATCATTTAGTTCATTTGGTAAAAATAGGTGATTAATAAATTATAAACTTTGTAAACGGGTGAAGATATTGTACATGTTAGACTACTGTAAACCAACTAACAATTATTTCCACTGTCCAGAAAACGATTTCAAATAATTAAGTAGTAAGTCTATAATAACAATGTGAGAATATATTTTGAGAGTTGATGTGAAAAAAGCTAATATGTTACCAAATTTATTAAATTTCAACATTCGTAATCTAATTCAGTTATTAATTTGTTTATTAAAATATTAAACTTCGGTATGATGGTAAAAGTATGGTACAGAAAAGAGACAATCGGAATTGAGAAAGAGAATTTGAGGTATTCGCACAAGATCGATGTGCCATATATAATGAGCAACAGAAATATCTTTGTGTGTGCTGCTTTGAGAGTTCAAAATGATGTCAAAAAAGTTCGCCTTAATAAGGTAAAAGTTAACGTATTAAATGTGTTAACTTGTTAATTATTTTTTTAAAAAATTTAATGAAACAAACAAGTATACAATAAATCTAAATCATAACCCTAAACTATCAATCCTTAAACATCCAGGAAGCCATTGAAATCATACTTTTTGGCCGAATTAATGATTCAGTGTCTCTTGAAATTTTGTCTGAAATAATTACATCCATCTAGATACGAAACACTTCTACATTGTAGTTGTGGTCAATTCATAATGGAGACCATAACTCCAAATTCCTAAGCTTAATCAAAGACAATGTCGATACTAAAAAAATATTCCGGTTTTGATGTGAGAGTATTTGATGACTGATAATATATATCTGTCTAGGAGAATTTATCTCTTCTTTGTCTACAGTAACCTGTAGAAAATTTTAATGGTCTTATTACTGATGAAAAATCTGTTGATAATTTGCTTTCTCATAAACTATCCATTCACAATCGCTGTTTTCGAATTGGTTGATTATTCGTCGCGGCTGTTTTAAAGTCGTCTCTGTGCTATATTTTTACCGATGTGACATGATAGTTTCAACGAAATCAGTCATATAGGAAGTTGTTCATAAAAATGACCCTATCAAATTTGAATTGTTTTGACGTGCATAAAAATTAGTAATGTCAAAAACACACGATATAATATTTTCATATTCCAACTAGTTTACACACGATTTCCTGACAATTGATAACATACTTTAATCAACTTCGTCAAAGAAAACTTATTAGATTTTTCTCTTAGTAAATATTATTAAATATCGTTTCAGAAATAGACTATTCGACTGATTACACGCTGATTTTTCATAACCACATAGAGTTTCAATTACGATTTACTATAGCTCGTTAGAGTTGTTTCTAAATAAGACTGGTTGAACAACGTGACCCACATAACCATTCTCTCGTTATATCTAGTTCGATTAATGACATGTTAGACATTTTGGTAATACATACTTTAAACCAGGATGATTTTTATTTACTATAAGTTACATTCATTGTAAAGTCTGTGGATATTGTTTCTATGGAAGTGTATATTAGGCGGGAAAATGAGTCTAAATAAATCGGGTATTTCTCCTTAGATTTGCTCTTTAAGTTTAAATGATAAAAATTTAAGAGTGTTGAGATAAGGTTTAGTAGCACATCTAGTCAAAAATACCATACTGAAAAACTCTAACCAGAGAGAAATGTTTCATTAATCCATCGCTATCATTTAAGGTTTCCGTATATCGTAAAAGAACAAACCTATGGTTTGTTTTGTGAAATCTATGGTCATTTTATTTATAATTAATAGTATTTTAAACTGTACAAACGTGGTAATGAACAAAGTTTATGATGAGATCTATGCAGCTCGATTTTTCGGTTGATTACTACATTTAAAAGATATTTCAATTATTATTTCACTTTAATAAGGACTGTTACAATTGATCTGTATACGTATTGTTGTGAACTTAATCGATAAATAAAAACATGCATTATCTATAGTCAATCTTTTTATATTTGACTTTTATTTAACTATAATCAGTTGGCTTCATCTATACTATTTTGTATACTTGCGCAAATTATATTTTCTCTTAGTATCTCTATGGTTATAAACAGGAATATAACTGAGAAAAAGTTATTTAAATAAGTAGTGATGTAAAGTTTGTCAGTTTATCTATTAGCTATCATGTTTA